CAATCTGAACCCATTTTCTGCACCCTAGTTAACCATCATGTTCTCTGAGACCTCTGTCCCCTATGTTCATGTTGATACTTTCACATATCGCCTCTAATTGCAAGATTTGGCCAAGCACTGGATTCTTCACTCTCAGACTTCAGGATCTTCTGGAGATATAAGCTTAGAAGTTTCAGAATCATACTGGGGAAGGAATCAGGCATTTTTAAACTAGAAAGTAGCACTTTCCCCATTCGGAGGCTTTCTTCGGACATCCACCCTTGGATTTCTGTTCCCATTATAGACTCCTTTTCTTCTCTTTGGGAACCACACACCAATGCAGCAGGAGGATGGAGGGTCCTTTTGAAGAGCATCTGGGAACCGAGCAATTAGGCACAGCCGGGTTGAATGAGTTCACAGTCTTGTGCAGGGTAAGGTGCCCAGGGTTGGGATGAGGCAGGAGCTACTTCTGATCCTTGAAAAGAAGGCACCAGAACACACTAATGGGAGTGCCACTAATGCCCTATAATACTGGCCCATTCACCATACTTGATACTTTCTCACCTTGTCCTGGACAAGCATGACTGAAGAGGTGCCACCAGTCCCCACAGGTACTCCTGCCCCCATAGCCAAGGCCTCAGTCAAGAAGAGTTAGAGGGCAGTAGTGTCAGGGGGAGCCTCCAAGCCCACCAAAGCCAATAGGAATGTTGACAATTGAGGTTGTTGTTTACAGATGTCTTCCCACTATATTCTTTCAGAGTTGCACATTTAGTCTTGGTTTCCCAAGAAGATACATTAATAGATGGTGACATAGGGAAGGTTCACCTATGAGATCTGGCAACTGAGTGCTTTGCATGTTCACTCTAAAATAACTCCCATTGGTAAGGGTAGTTGGGGTACCAGCTCAAATCCCACCATTTCTTAGCCTAGTTTCATAACTACAGAATCGATGTACATAATCTGACTTCCCCACACAAATTTTAAATCGGCTTGCAAAGTCATTGTGGCTGTGCGTGTGGCAGGGCAGAGTTGGGGTTATAGGAGCTGGGGAATCCAACAACATCTGAAGTGCCACAGATTCCCAACCCTTTTATTAGCTTCCAAACCCTTAATAGTACCTGCCACAGCAGTACAAATGGGAATTACAACGAGCTGGAGCACCTTAAGATTTCCATTCTACTGCTAACTCCAGACTGGTGTTACGGAAAAATCTATGTGCAAGGCTGCTCAGTCACCCAGCTCGTCAGGCAGAGCCCGTGGGTCCCTGCGGAATTAAAGGAAGGAGTCCAGCCACCAACCGGAGCAAATAGCTGTAGACCAAAGTTCATTGCGCAACAGGTTCAAAGAGGAATTTTGAACCCCGAGGATGGGGTGACAATGACTTTTAAATCTTTCCCACCATATCCCAGAATACAGTTCGTACAGCATCATTGATACACCATTGCTACATCACTGACATGCCACAAAAGGGGAGGAGTAGACAGGGGTTACACTAGTTTAACCTTGGCAAACATGTCCAGACAAGTCCTTGGTACAAGATTAGCATAAGCAGACATGTCAGGGCAAGACCCAGATATAATATTAGCATAGGCAAACTGAAGTCACACCACCCAAAGTACAATAGAACTACCTTTGCATATCTGGACCCCTTGGCAAGTCTGGTGATGAGATTAGGCTTTCCTTGGCCAACAATCAGATCAGCAATTGTCACCTCTGGGCACTTCCTGGGGTAGGAGGTGTGCATACATGTCCTCATGCTTGGGGTTTTTCCAAGACCAAAATAGTGTTGAAATGGAGGAAACTGGCAAAGGGGTTGATTTTATATGATTGTTAAAGCTAGGTAACTTCCCTGAGCTGTGAAGTCAAAAGGATACATTTATGCATAATATTTGTAACATTTAACAACTTTAAAGATGTGTCCCGTCCCCCCGTAATTTCCATAACACTGGAAACCATCAGCAAAGAAATAATTAGGTGCCTATGTCATCAAATAAACTGAGAAAGGCCAATTGGAGGCTGGAAGACAGGATACTGTACATGCTGGGACCGGGAATTTATGGTTCTCCAGATGCTGTTAACCTATGCCACACTCATTGTCTCTCGGCATTAGCCATGTTGTCTGGGATTGATGGGAGTTGAAGTCCAATCATGGCCCGTAATTTTCTTAAGTTAATAGGTCTAAATTGGACTTCCTGTTTCTGACTTCTTTTCTTCCTTCTTAAAGTGACTGTATTTGGGCCTAAAGAAACCTGTGTAACACAGAACACGCAGAGAGTCGTGGAGACTAAGAAAATAAGTTGGAGCAAAAGTACAGCGGAACTCTTTATTGCGAAAGTTTAAGACGTAAGGTGTGTGTGCTTTAACATGTAGTCGTGGCCGAGTGGTTAAGGCGATGGACTAGAAATCCATTGGGGTCTCCCCGCGCAGGTTCGAATCCTGCCGACTACGATGCTTTCTTTCCTTTTCCTGAAATCGTCTTTGCTTAAATAGTCAAAAAACTTCTTCCGTTTTAGGCAAGCATCTTTGAATACCTTGGGGTGCCGGACAGGTGTTTTGTTACTCCTTACTTTCCACGCAGCGCTCATCAACTACAATCAAACCACTATACGTATCTATTACTGAAGACTAGGGAGTTTTCCCTCCTCTAAAAATGCTGTAGGTTACGGCTTGTATAAGCTTCCCTGAAATAGTAAGAAAAAATTGTGTTTCTCACAAAGAGTGTATTGGTGAATTGCAGGCATACTGCTTAAGGTAATTGTCATGATGTCCGTGTAGAATTAAGTAGAAACGTGCTAGTTTAAACTGGCTGGTTATGGGAGGGTAACCTTCCCCCCACCTCCATTTATTGAGACCAAGAAAGGTCATTACTAGCTCCTCGTTAGTATAGTGGTAAGTATCCCCGCCTGTCACGCGGGAGACCGGGGTTCGATTCCCCGACGGGGAGATCATTGGCTTTTATAACTCAAAAGTGCATTCACATTACAAATTGTTGTGAACCAGAAACAACTGGGCATATTTTTGTTCCAATAGGCTTCAACAGATGGATAAAAAGTTCCCTGCCGCGTGTTTCTCCTGGGAATTTTTTTTTTAATATGCTGTTATGGTCTGTGTCCTTTTTAACTGTTGGTTTGCTGGTTTTTTTATTGCATTCTGTACATCATGTTGAAGGTGATATATAAACAAACAAACAAACAAACAAACACAAACATGAAATGCTACATTTGTATAGTGTGATGCCATCTTCAAAGCCCTTTTTAAAATTGCTTTTGCCACTTGAAATCTCTAGTTTCCTTTCTATGGGGCAGTGTCATGTTTAATTGCATGAAAGTATACGCAGGTGGCGCAGAGCCTAGGCCTTGCCGGTCAGAAGGTTGGCGGTTCAAATCCCTGCGATGGGGTGAGCTCCCGTTGCTCGGTCCCAGCTCTTGCCCACCTAGCAGTTCGAAAGCACGTCAAAGTGCAAGTAGATAAATAGGTACCGCTCTGGCGGGAAGGTGAAGGGCGTTTCCGTGCGCTGCTCTTGTTCGCCAGAAGCGGCTTAGTCATGCTGGACACAAGACCCAGAAGCTGTATGCCGACTCCCTCGGCCAATAAAGCGAGATGAGCGCAGCAACCCCAGAGCTGGTCACTACTGGACCTAATGGTCAGGGGTCCCTTTACCTTTATACCATCGGAAAATATCACCTTAGCACAACTGCATTCCAACAAAAATGTAGGGTGTAGAATGCTGGCTGTTACTAGAATAAGGGGTCATCCTATGGCAAGATCTGCCAGGATCAGCAGTTTAGCATGCAATGAATCTGCAGCTCAGTCAGCATTAAATCCCCAACCCTGGCCCCAAGATGCATTGTAGGGACTGGTGAAAGTCCCCCAAAAGAGTTTTTGTTTTAATTTTTATTGTGTTAAAAAATAGATTACAAACATAAAGTCCAAAACAAAGCAGAACAAACAAGACAAAGCAAAACAAAACAAAACAAAAAGAAAAATCACACCTACAAAGAAAACCATATCATCATATTAATCGTTAGGTACATATACACGTATTGACTTCCTTCCTTTATTCTGAGACCTCATACTTTTTAATCTTTCTGTATTGTTGTGTCTAGTGTAGATTACCTCTGTCTTTATACCTCTTGCACCATTTCTTTAACCCTGCAAAGCTTCATTCATTACATACTGCTATACAGTGCTACCTCGGGTTACATACGCTTCAGGTTACATACGCTTCAGGTTACAGACTCTGCTAACCCAGAAATAGTACCTCGGGTTAAGAACTTTGCTTCAGGATGAGAACAGAAATTGTGCTCCGGTGGCGTGGCAGCAGCAGGAGGCCCCATTAGCTAAAGTGGTGCTTCAGGTTAAAAACAGTTTCAGGTTAAGAACAGTCCTCCGGAATGAATTAAGTACGTAACCAGAGGTACCACTGTACTTACTCCAGGACAATGTTTTTTCATATATTCTTTAGCACAATCCCATTCTTTTACTAATTTTTGATCCAATTGTCCCCTTAAGAATGCTGTGAATCTTGCCAAATATATATATTCACAAAATTTGATTTGCCATTCTTTTATTGATGGGATTTTTCCCCCTTTCCAATTTTTTGCAATGAGCATCCTGGCAGCTGTTGTTGCATAGAGGAATACTTTTCTTTGGATGCCAGGAATATTGTTTGTGATTATACCTAAAAGGAATGCTTCCAGTTTTTACTAAAATATATTTTGAACATCTTTTTGATTTCCTCATATATTTCATTCCAAAATTTATAAATAGGTCAGCATTCCCACCACATGTGAAACATTGTTCCTATTTCTTTCTTGCATCTCCAACAGGTATTTGATTTTAATTTGTAAAATTTGGCCAATTTTACTGGATGTACCATTGGTACATCGTTTTCATCAAATTTTCTCTAATTGTATAACATGCCATAATATCGCATTTCTATAATTTCTCCCATTGGTCCAGCCTAATTGTATAACTTTAACTCCCGTTCTAAGAATAGATTATACATTGTGGATATGCTTTTTTTTTTTTGTAATAATGCTTTCTGTAATTTTAATTCTTCTTTTTGAAATCCTATTATTTTGTCCTGATTAAATATTTGGGCAATTTGGTGATATTGTAACCATGTGGTGCAGTATTGGGTCACCTCTTTGTATGGTCTTAGTTTTAATTGGCCCTGTTCCTCCTTTAGGAACTGCTGGTATGTCGCCAATCTTCCTGTCGTATTTTTCTTTTTGACGGATATTACTTTTAAAGGTGATACCTACCATGGGGTTTTCGGTTCTAACAGCCTTCTAAGTCTCACCCAGACCTTATATAGCGAGTTTTTAATTGCATGGTTTACAAATCCTTTATGAACCGCCACCTTACTGTAAATTAGATAGGCAGAGTTTTTCTGAGGTGTGGTTGACACAGGAAGGTGGGGGATTTAGGCTGAATCCTCAGTCTATTCAGTTTACCCACATAATTTGGCAACCCCGCATAAAGGACTTCTTTTCCCTCTGCCAGGCTTAGGCTGAGCAGCCACTGAAATGCCCAACAGGGTTTGGATCGGGTGTAACGAGGGACTTTCTATTTTTTGTAACTGATTTGGAACATTAGTTTGAAGAGCCCGGGTAGCTCAGTCGGTAGAGCATCAGACTTTTAATCTGAGGGTCCAGGGTTCAAGTCCCTGCTCGGGCGTTTGTAATTTTTCTTCTACCCTATGCCTCTTCATACATCTTTTAAAATTACTTTCTTCCACTAGTTAATGGCAAACGAGTGACATCACGTTGGTATTCTACACTTCCTGATCATATGAAGCTTATATCAAGCTTATAATATCAAGAACAAACTTAGTTGGTCTCTAAGGTGCTACTGGACGATTTTTTGATTTTTTATATATATTTCGACTGAGTCTGACCAGCAGGGTTACCTACCTGAATCTAATCATGTCATGGTTCGTTTGTTTTGAAGCCATTCAAAATAACACAGACAGCATAATACGTTGCACAATACGTTTTATCTGTGGAAGAAACTACCTATCAACGTGTATGTGGGATGTTCTAATATATGGCAGCATTTCTGATGAGGGTCTGTGATCTCAAGACTGAAGTTTCAGCTTTACATTTTCTAAGAATGCGCACATGGGTCTGTGCTTCTGATTTATCAAAAGTTGAAGCAACAAAAACACTATACCGACGAAGGTGGGATTCGAACCCACGCGTGCAAAGCACAATGGATTAGCAGTCCATCGCCTTAACCACTCGGCCACCTCGTCAAGCACAAAATGAATGTTTTTAACTCCGGTACTTAAAAAGTGCTTCAATACTCCACTTCAAAAGGATGTAGTTTTTTGCAGTGTGCTTTTAAGGTGGTTTCGTATTGAATAAACGCGGTAGGATTACAATGTAACTTGCATATTTTCCAGAACATAGTCAATGAAATTGAGCGGATTTTATAAGAATTATGAACGGTGAGGTTTATTAGACATAAAGCTGCTTAACTAATGTATCAAAAAGCCTTTTGAATCTAAAAGCCCGACTTTAAATGTTACACAAACCTAGCCCTCGCCATCTTGAAAGAAGCAGCCTTCTCTAGGGGTGGTGGACGAGGAATGGCCCTGCTCTGATGGTGCCCAAATCAAACAAATGCATCCTCCCCTTGGGAGCCTGTTAAGCAGTCAACTTCAACTCAACACGATTAATCGAGTAATTTGTGGCTTTCTGAATGCAGTCCTACTGTAAACAGCACCTCTAAACTTCTTCAATCTTAATTATTTGGGGAAGGTGGGGTGTATTATTCAGTTAGGATAAGCAGCATAAAAACAAGACTATTTATACAATGAAATAGCGAAGCATATTTCAATCCCATTTAATTCCAGGGGGTGGGATTAGCATTTTCCTTAACAAGTAAAAGGCTAAAGCCATCGCCAGCTGAACAGGATACATTCCCTTTTCGGGGCTTCCCAGCTTCATTTTAGAAAGAGCCTTTAAGTACCAAATTTCCCATTCCCATGGTCATTTTCATAGTTTGTATCTTTTTGTTACCTTCCTAGTTAGTTCCCCTTACTAACATACGACGTACCGGAAAGCTGCAAGGGGTAATTTAGCATCGTGCGAGCTCTTTTCCAAGACCATGTGGTGGCTCTTAAAAGAGCCTTTGTGGTGCAACAAGGTTCGTGTTCTGGGGACGCGGGCGGGCGCTTCTCAGGCCCTCTCTCCGCGGATGCGCCTGGCGAGCTGGATGTCCTTGGGCATGATGGTGACGCGCTTGGCGTGGATGGCGCACAGGTTGGTGTCCTCGAACAGGCCCACCAGGTAAGCCTCGCTCGCCTCCTGCAGAGCCATCACGGCCGAGCTCTGGAAGCGCAGGTCCGTCTTGAAGTCCTGCGCGATCTCGCGCACCAGGCGCTGGAAAGGCAGCTTGCGGATCAGCAGCTCCGTCGACTTCTGGTAGCGGCGGATCTCGCGCAGCGCCACGGTGCCCGGCCGGTAGCGGTGAGGCTTCTTCACGCCGCCCGTGGCCGGCGCGCTCTTGCGGGCGGCTTTGGTCGCCAGCTGCTTGCGAGGCGCCTTCCCGCCAGTCGACTTGCGAGCTGTCTGCTTCGTACGGGCCATTGCTCCCAAAAGAAGTATAAAAAACTACCCAAAACGCCGCAAGTCCCCCACAGACGAAACAACAGATAAAGTAAAGCGAAAGTTCCATGGCCGGATATTTATAGGCAGCTGGCTGCCCGCTGATTGGCTGGAAGAGATGAATGGAACCGTTGCAGAGTTCGAATTTCCCAAACTATGCAGGGATTGGGCAGGATTTCAAAACCACCCCGCCCCTTCTAATGACTACATTTTGTCTCCTAACCATTCAGCCTTGCTATTTTGTGAAATGGGTCTCCGCCCCCACTTTAAACAAAAACCGGTCTTTGCTTTACAAGGAAGCCCTCCATAAGGCGGATGGCAAATCTATTTCTGCACATAGAAGCATTCTGGTAGATGGTTACAGTTTACAGAACAGACACAGACAAATCTTTGCCTCACCCCCACCACCCAAGTTGATTACGGTCCTAAATTTAGACGGGGCGGGAAGGAAACCAGAGTAACCAATCAGTGCAGAGAGAGAAGCAATAGAAGAAGCAAGGTCAGCAATCAGGAATGTGATGTCTTTGTAGTTCGTGGCAAATATCAGAAACCTGTAGGTCCCTAGTCTAGTACCAGCACCATTTCTTTCCACTTTGTACTGTGAAAGAGTAATCATTGTTCAAAAGCTGTGGCTTCTTTCCTTTCAACAGTGAGAGACACAAACAACTGACCCTCTTGGATAGCATACCTCTTATCTTTCACAATACTGATGATTCATAGAATTGTAGAGCTTGAAGGGACCCTAAGGGTCATCCAGTCCAACCCCCTAAAACGCAGGTGAATAATCCCTGGAGGATGGCTATCCATGAGTCTTGAACTTAAGAAAAACCCTGCTAGAGCAAACTGAACTTCCATCTACCTACGCCCTACGGTGTAATCCTATTCACAAGAAGCTGGTGTAAAGTTAAGTGAAGCAAGGGCAAAGCACACCACAACCAGACGCCATTCTGGAGCAAGGATGCTGCTAGCTGCGCTGGCCTAAGCCTGCCAGAAGGAAAACAAGCCTTTAAAATAGTGCTTGAGCCACACCACTATTTTTGCTGCCTTAATTTACATGGTGTTGCCAGGTCATGTGACTGAGATGTGCTGGTTTAGGATCTTGCCTGGATTCCTTGTTTTCATTGGTTTAAAGTGTCATTATACTGGCCCATTTTCAGTCCTATGGTATGGAGGCTCATCTTAGGGGAAAACAAATGTATCTTTGTTAGAAGATGAGCAATTTCATATTTGAGTTCTTTGAGAACTTTTGGCTGGATGGTAATTTCTTGGTGTGTCCCCCCCCCCCAAATCTACCAGAAAAGTAAATGGTCTTGTCACCACTATTTGCCTCAGTACTTCAGATACCTCTTCCTGCAAAAGTTGGTAAAGGCAGAGGTATCTGACCTGTGCCTCTCTCAGTGGAGACTGGAGCACAGAAAAACATTCAGCTTGTCTGCAATTTCCTTCTCAAGCTGCAGTTCTCTATAGGTGGTTTCCTGATTATAGACACACACACACACATATACAATTCTCCAAAAAGTGATGCCAGACTTTATTGTGTTCTTGCATTTGTTTGGGTAGATATTGTTCTTGTCCTTTTGGCAAAATAAATAAATTAAACTCTGAAGGAAACCTTCCTCATCAATAATTTATTGATGAGCAACAGGTGTGGGGAACCTTTTTCAGCCTGAGGGCTTCTTCATTTCCTTGTGGACAACTTCTGGGTGGCCACATGCCATGGATGTAGAGCACCAGAGGCAAAACTAGACAGAGGAACAAATGTGAATGTTACCTTTAACAGAGCCCTAAATTCCACACCCACTAGCACAACACTCTGGCCTACATCCACTCAAGCAGGAAGCGCAACTCATTCCAGCAAGGCCAAAACACTCACAGAGGGTGCAAAACAGATCCCAAAGGGTACTGTATTTACTGGGGTAAAGTCTCCAGGGCCAGAAAGAGATGCCTCCCTAGAGGACTGCTTTTGGTCACTATGCTCAAGGTGCTCTATCCTTATGCACTGAATACGTTTAACTTTCTATCATTGCAGTTTTGGATAGCCACTCCCCACCCTCAATGTTCTGGAGACATTTTAACCCGTTCTTTCCCGTTTAGCTTTTACTTGAGTAAACACGTTTGGGTTACACAAATAGGGTTAGCATGTCGTTGAAGTACAGCATGCCTTAGTCAAGATTGCAAGATAAATATCAACCTAGCAATTACGTAACCTTTGATAGGCTGTTTGGCTCTGATGTGATGTGCATATTCTTAAAATGTGCTTGAGAACTAACAAAGAAATATTAGAATCGGTTACTTATACTAGAGATAACTAGCTCTTTCGCTGAAGTTGTGGGTGGCTCTTAAAAGAGCCTTTGGATTTTGGGATTCCTTGTTGAGAAGAGCTTCACTTGCTCTTAGCTTTGTGGCTCTCGGTTTTCTTGGGCAACAGCACAGCCTGGATGTTGGGGAGAACGCCTCCTTGAGCAATGGTGACTTTGCCCAGCAGCTTGTTCAGCTCCTCGTCGTTGCGGATGGCGAGCTGCAAGTGGCGAGGGATGATCCTGGTCTTCTTGTTGTCCCGGGCAGCGTTGCCGGCCAACTCCAGGATCTCAGCAGTCAGGTACTCCAGCACAGCAGCCAAGTAGACGGGCGCTCCGGCCCCGACGCGCTCTGCGTAGTTCCCTTTGCGCAGAAGACGGTGCACACGACCCACAGGGAACTGCAGCCCGGCACGAGAAGAGCGAGTCTTGGCCTTAGCCCTGACTTTTCCACCTTGTTTGCCGCGACCAGACATCTTTTCTTCCTTATGTTCAGCTGCTGCTTCACTGCCAAAGCTCGAGCAAGAATAGTTCTGAAGCAGCTTCTTCCTCGATATTTATCCGTGCCGCCGGCTTGTAATTGTGAATTCCTATTGGGTAGTGCTTTAAAACCATGTGACTTAACTAGCGAATGGGAATCGCGAGTCTTTTCCTTTAGTCCATTGGTTGGGCAGGTCGGAGCTTATCCAATCAGATCAAAGGAAGTAGCAGCTTGAAATTTGAAGTGGGCGCCTTAAAATGAGAAGATGCGATTGGGTAGCTTCTAGTTGTTAACCAATAAGAATCATTGAAGCTGAATATGCTAATTGCATCCTGCTGCTATAAATTGAATGGTCTGCACACACGCTGCGTACCATTTCTTTGCAGCTGAAAGGGAAATAGGTGCCTTTACAATGCCGGAACCAGCGAAATCCGCTCCCGCGGCCAAGAAGGGCTCCAAGAAGGCAGTCACCAAGACCCAGAAGAAGGGCGACAAGAAGCGCAAGAAGAGCCGCAAGGAGAGTTACTCCATCTACGTCTACAAGGTGCTCAAGCAGGTCCACCCGGACACGGGCATCTCCTCCAAGGCCATGAGCATCATGAACTCCTTCGTCAACGACATCTTCGAGCGCATCGCGGCCGAGGCTTCCCGCCTGGCGCACTACAACAAGCGCTCCACCATCACCTCCCGGGAGATCCAGACCGCCGTCCGACTCCTGCTGCCCGGAGAGCTGGCCAAGCACGCCGTCTCCGAGGGCACCAAGGCCGTCACCAAGTACACCAGCTCGAAGTAATTTTGACTCTCTCCCAAATACTTACTCAACCCAAAGGCTCTTTTAAGAGCCGCTTAACTTGTCAAAGAGGGCTTTGATCATTACGTTCATTTATCACAAAAAAAATTGCGCGGGTTTTCTGTTACAACATTATGCTTAGTTTGCCTTAGTCCAGAAGCAATGCAGCCACCCCTGTTTAGTAACTTGTCCTATACACTTCTTGGAAAGTCCTAGAATGTAGTAGTATAATTTATGCAACCCCACCTTGCACCCTAAAGTTGGAGGGATATCCTGTAATGAGTCCGCTGGGAGATTATTTTCTCCGCAATTTAATCTTCCGCCTTTTTGATACCTGACTAGTTCCATCTTGCGGATTTTTCCAAGATAAATGCGAATTTAACCCTTTTTCTTTCTGATGTCATATATTTGGCATTATGTCATACATTTGGCAAGAGGGCCGGTTAGCTCAGTTGGTTAGAGCGTGGTGCTAATAACGCCAAGGTCGCGGGTTCGATCCCCGTACGGGCCATCGTTCTTGTTTACTTAATTTTTTTGGTTATGCTATAGTATTTCATCTGGAACTCAACTTTTGAGTCCGCTCTGATTCTTCTTTTTTTCTGGTTTCCTTCTATGACATAAGTTCCACCTAATGGTGCAGCAATAAATCTGCTAGCACATTTGCAAACACCTGGTGCAGAATTCAGTGGTCAGGTTGGTCACTGGAACAAGACTTTTTGAGCATCAAATTACACTAATCCTGGCCCAACTGTACTGGTTGCCAATTACCGGTAGTATCTGAGCCCCATGCAAAGTGCTGGATTGGACCTATAAACCCTTAAGCAATTCAGGACCACTATACTTCAAGTACTGCCTCTCCCCATGTGAACCTACCCAGAACCCTGCCATCAGACCATTCTTTGTGTCAGGAAGGTGGCAACACAGGAAATGGGCCTTTTCAGCCGTGATTCCCTGCTTGTAGAATGCTGCCCCCCAGAAATGCTCACATGGTGGCTGTTGCATATCTTTAGACGCCTGGCAAAAACATTCCTCTTCTTGCAGGCCTTTGCCTAAGTAATCATTCTATGACCTTTTAAATGTTGTGGTACTGGGTTTTTGTTGCTGCTGTTACTATTTTATGCAGTTCTATTTTTTTTTATATTGAAGGGTGGTATGTTTGCATCCGTCTGCCTAGAGCAGGGGTCCCCAAACTAAGGCCTGTGGGACTCATTTATCTGGCCCGTGGCGACCCCCGCCGCCTGCTGCCACCGCCTGCAGTGGCCAGTGCTGCGCTGCTGCCCACTTCTGGGTCGGAGGAGCACCAGAAATAGCTTGTGCACATGTGCAAGCATTATTTGCACATGCGCAAGCGTTATTTCTGGTGCACATCCGGGTCTGAGGAGGCCTGTGCACATGCACACAAGCTATTTCTGGTGCTCCTCCGACCCAGAAGTGTGCCAGAAGTAGTGTGCCCCCGCCTTCCAGCCCACTGCACGGTCGGCACTGGAGACACCGGCCCAAGGTGCGGTAAGTTTGCTGACCCCTGGCCTAAAGAGACAAAAGAGTAGGCCTCTGGGGGGTGAAGTCAAACCTCTGCGTTAGCAACACCAAAGTGGGAGCATGCCTGGGCAGTATGCATGAAGGTACTGGGCTGCCCAGACCTCAAGAGCCCCCCTACCTCTGCCCCACTGATGCGTTTGGCACCAGCTTAGCTGCCAGAGTTGCCAAGAGGCATACAAAGCGCCATCGAACCCACTTAGAGACTCCACTCTGGGTTTCTGTAGGGTTTACTCCTTAGCCTTTTCTTCTCTCGAAGATACCCTGCAAGGCAGCAGAGGTTTAGTTTAGTACAGTATCAGTTTTCCTTCTCTTAGATGGACTCCTTTGACTCATC